TGTGTGTGTGTGTGTGTGTGTGTGTGTGTGTGTGTCACATGTGTGCGTGTGTGTGTGTGTGTGTGTGTGTGTGTGTGTGTGTAGTAGATTTTCTCCACAACAGCCCCTGTTCCACCAGGTGAGTAGATTCACAATGGAAGCGGCTTTACCTCTATTGCAGACAATGAAGCGCACTTGAGGTGAGCCAATCCAACAATGATAAGTTTTACGTTTGTGGAGGACAATAGATCTGTTATACCACTTTCTTTGCTATTTTTACTTCGGCTTTGTTTGGGGTATTTATATTTGTTCTTGAAGCTCCCCTTTTGACAGTGTCTCTCTCACATACAAGGCTGACCATGCTGATTGTGGTTGAGCGCCAGCTTCCTACATCCCCGTGTGCCTTAATGGCACAGTTGCACATTATGAAAGGAGGCAGAGTACAGGGGGATGTACACTCTTGTTCATTTTTCTTCAGATTTTCAAGCTGATATTTTCGCTGTTCTCTTAATGGTGCTCATGTGTATGCATTTAGTAGTAGTACACAACTGGAGGGAGGAAGGAAAGGGGTAGGAAGTGAAGCGAGGGGCTTGGGAGGGCGAAGCGGAAGAGGAGGGAAGGAGAATGGCAACGAACAGAACAGAGGAATGACAAACTTGACATGGTTCTCAACACGCACCGCTGGAGCAGACTACTCTGGATTTGAGACGATCAGCAGCCGTTGCCTATGGTATGTGGCCACCCCTATGGACCCGACTGTGGAAGCACCACACCCAATTATTGCTGTTGCGGTCACTGCATCGAAATGGCATGGCGTAGACAGATGTCACAGGCTAGGTGGCTCCTACATGCTAGGAACACAGAATCATGCTGACTGCAATTTTATAGGGCTTGTTGTTCCAGCCTGTCTACAAATTAGAGATGTCATGTCAAGGTGCCATACATGAGTGCAATGGTGACTTCCATCATACGCATGAAAACAAAAACTTGCATGGGCTATGCCTTCGTAATCCTCACGACAAAAGGCATGTGAATCACATGCTAGCCGAATCTCAGGCGGGCCATCAGAAAGTGGCGTTGAGCAAGTTTCCTGGGTATGCACAGTCGTTGTTCCCTCTCTACGGACAGCTGACGATGGGGGCTGATCGAAAGGAAGGGTGTTTGGCTGTTGCAAGATTTGGTCTGCAACAGCTTGCCCTTGCGGCGACAACCTTTCTGTACAGCGCTTTGTAGGTGCTTCATATGGCAGTCTATTTTTCTCCTCAGGCTGCTGTGTCGGCTTGTTCATCTTGCAAGGTGAAGGAGATCCAACTACCGTCCGATAAGGATGAAGGAGATCCAACTATGATTGCAGCAGGCGTATGCCCAATGCTGCATGTGGGGATATGCTAGGAGGGGATGTGGCGGGTGATGACCTTGGGGATAGTCCACACAGTAGAGACACATACCTTCTATGACAGCTTCTTCGAAACATTGACGACACAGGGTATGTTGCTGACATGTCAGCAGGAGAGCAGGCTGACGTTCGCAGCTATTTAAGCATGGAATGTCAAGGCCACAACGGCAAGTAATTAGTCAGGGAATGGCTGCAGGAGAGGTTGCAGTTTTTGCGGGAGAGGCTGGCATTGACCATCCCATCATAGTGTTAGGAGCAGAGACTATGTTGTGTGTGTGCCAACTGAACCGAAGCTGTGTGGAGACACAATCGTATGGCACAGCCCAACCATCCTCTAGAGAGCCCCCTTCACTATCCATGGTAGAATCCAATCGATCTACACAGGGAATGGACGCTGATTGCCCATGTACAAGGGATTAGGAAGGTTCAGCCAGATTGCTCTGCGGAGGCTGTATTGCTCTCCGGATCGGCCAGCCTGACAGAGTGGGATTCTACAGCTTGGTGATAGAACGAGTGAATATTTCGCGCCGTGTGCACCCTACGCCATTGTCCCATTGTTGAAATGACCTGGATGATGCAGGATGTGCGCACAAATATTCGGGTTCATCTCTGGCATGCAATTCTGTGGACCGGGGTGGAGTTCTAGTCGCCTTCCCATAAATGCCATAGACAAGACTTCTATGTCCGTGGTAGGCGCAGTTCTGTCATCCTTTGGGCAGACAGCACTATGCTCTTCTTCTGTGCAGAGAACAATATCTGCAAAATCAGAAACAGTATATGGGTTGCAATTGTAATTGAGGAGACATACATTAGACCCACCACTCCCCCCGACATTGAAAACTCAGGGGCAAGCGAACCAGCAAAGTGGCAAGAATGGAAAATGTGTCAATAGTTCACAACTTCACAGTTGAAATGCTTTTTTTTTCATTTTTTTGTTGGGTTAGGCTGATGCCCGGTCCAGACGAACCGGGGGGGCTCCGTCCGGCAAAACCAGACGAGCCAAAAAATGTCTGAGGAATTTTTTTTTTTTTTTTTTTGAAGATGGGGTTGGACTGCGCTCGCTGAGAGGAGCCCAACTCCACAGAGAAACTTGTGAAAGACTTGTGTTGGGGGCGTGGTCGGGGGGGGGGGGARGGRGTTTGRGGGGTTGRGGGRGGKGGGGGTTTGACAATTTTTTAAAAGGGTGTGTTTCAGCAGCCAGTCCGCTGAGGGGAGGGGTTAGAGGAGGAGGAGGAGGAGGAGGAAGAAGAAGAAGAAGAAGAAGAAGAAGAAGCAGAAACAGAAAAAGAAGAAAGCAGAAGAAGAAGAAAGGAGAAGAAAGGAGAAGAAGAAGAAAAACCAAACTAAGAACGATGAGGAGGAGGAGGAGACGAAAGGAGGAGGAGGAGGAGGAAAGAAGGAGAGAAGGAGAGAAGGACAAGACGAAAGGAGGAGGAGGCTGAGGAGGAGGAAGAGGAGGAGGAGAGAAGGAGAAGAATTAGTAGGTGGAGGAGGAGGAGAGAAGAAGAAGAAGAAGACGAGAGGAGGAAGAGGAGGAGAGAAGGACAAGACGAAAGGAGGAGGAGGAGGAGGAGAGAAGAAGAAGACGAGAGGAGGAGGAGGAGGAGCAGCAGGAAGAGGAAGAGGAGGTGGAGGAGGAGGAGAGAAGAAAAAGAAGACGAGAGGAGGAAAAGGAGCAAGAGGAGGAGGAGGACCTGCCGATAGTGTATGTGGATGACGAAAAAAGAAAAAAAAGACGACGAGGAAGGAGGTCGAGGAGGAGGAGGACGAGGGGGAGAGAAGGAGAAGAATAAGTAGGTGGTGGAGGAGGAGGAGAGAAGAAGAAGAAGACGAGAGGAGGAGGAGAAGGAGGAGAGAAGGAGAAGAAGACGAGAGGAGGAGGAGCAGGAGGAGGAGGCCCTGCTGGTACTGTATGTGGATGACGGAAAAAAAAAGACGATGATGAACGAGGTTGAGGAGGAGGAGGAGGAGGAGAGAAGGAGAAGAATGAGTAGGTGGAGGAGGAGGAGAGGAGAAGAAGAAGATGAGAGGAGGAGGAGGAGGAGGAGGAGGAGGAGGAGGAGGACAAGACGAAAGGAGGAGGAGGAGGAGAAGAAGACGAGAGGAGGAGGAGGAGAGAAGAAGAAGAAGATGAGAGGAGGAGGAGGAGGAGGAGGAGAAGAAGACGAGAGGAGGAGGAGGAGAGAAGAAGAAGAAGATGAGAGGAGGAGGAGGAGGACCTGTGGGTACTGTATGGGGACGACGGAGAGGAGAAGAAGAGTAGGAAAGGAGGAGGAGGAGGAGGAGGAGGAGGAGAGGAAGAAGAAGAGGAAGGAAAGAGGTGGAGGAGGCTTCACGACGATGGCAACAACAGCTTCACGGGCAGCGACGACGAGGAGGGCTTCTTGACGAGGCAGCTTGATGGGGACAATGATGGGCAGCTCGACGAAGACAGGCGGTCTTCACGACCGCATCAACGACGGGCGGGCTAGCGACGATGGGTGGCTTCGCGACGGCAGCGATGACAGGCTTCGCAACAGGGAATACCGCGTTCGAATTCGAACGCAGCATCGTAGCCTGCGAGAGGGGGAAACAATTTCTTGGCGGCTAATCTCAGCCGAAAACCTCGCTCCGCCCCCTCAAACTACTTGTACATTGTTGTAGATTCAGAAAAAATAATTTACCTGGTGTCGCCGGAGGTTGGGGAGGTGACCAGTAGCCAAAAAAGGCCTGCCCCCCCCTCTGCGTGAAATTGCGCTGGCCTCGCCTGCCCCCAAACCGGGGGACCCAACCAGCCAGGCCTCCCGGGATCCCTGCCGAACGAAGGCCAGGCCACCGGACGGTCCGGAGTTTAACACAGTTTTTTTTATATGTTTCCTGGAAAAGCATCCAAAATTTCGGTTTTTAATTCATACTTCTGAGCATGAAAAATCATGGAAGTTGGAGTACTTTTTCCGTTGGCCTGCACGTGGCAGAGTGGCAAAAATGGAAAATGTGCCGAATCAGTGTGATGATTTATTTCACGGTCAGATTTGTTTTTTGTGCACTTTTTTTAAATATTTTCCTTGGAAAGATCACAATCTAATCAACAGGATCTAGACTTCCCAGATTTTCTGTGAACTTTTATGAGCGTTGGCGCTTTGAAAGTGCAGGACTGGACCTGCCAGCGCCTGCCGGTCGGCCCCTCCCGTAAAATGTGCTCTGTGTGGTCTGGAAAGCAATGTAGTGGGAAGTGGTGGTTTAATGGCATTATATGCACAGTGGCCTTTCTGTAGCAGTATGAGATCATTTGATTTTTCTTTGCACGGCAGGGGGAGCTTCATTTAAATCTTCAGATTGCACGGTAAGGGGAGATTCATGGCAGTCTTGATTGTCTCTGTGAGGTTCCTCTGGCTGTATGAACTCTAGCATGTTTCGGAGAGAGATCATGCCCAGTCGGGGGCTTCATCAAGTGATCAGAAGGTGGATCATTGCCAGTTGGAGCGGGGGAGCAATTGGGGCTAGGTGGATGAGGGGTGGGTGGGTTGGCTACAGGAAGCGGAGGCTGATCAGCCGCACTTCTGCTTAGAGTGGCTGCTGTTCACGCAAATGTTGCACAGGTGGCTGCACTGAACCGTGTGAGAAGCTCGCCCATCACTCTTGTGTCTGGTACACAGACTTGCAGCACTTAAAAAAATCGTCGCCGTATTGTGGGTACGTGACCCGGTATGTACTATTCATGGCTAGTGCACATTGAGAGCAATGAGGCCATTCTGTACAGTTACGAGCACGGTGTCGAAGTAGATGTCCGACCCCTGCCGGGGGCACGGTGATCATGTGGTCCAAGGACAAATGAGGCCGTTGTCTAGAAGCTGGGACTGGACATAGGGAACTTCTCCGCCGAAGAGGCCTCGGTGACGGACGACTTGACCATAGATGCCTCCGCTGATGGCACCTCTGTGATGGCTGATCAGGCCATGAATGTGTTTATGTAGAGGTCGGTGACAAAGGGGAGGCATAGGAGGGGGAGGAGGAGGAGGAGGAGGAGGAAGAAGAGGGAGAAGAGGAGAAGGAGGTGGAAGAAGAGGAGCCATTTGACAGAGGGGATGATGTCGATGTAGGGGAGGTAGCTAGTGGTGATGGTGGTGGTGGTGGTGCCGGTGGATGAGGAGGGACATTTTCAGCAGCATTCGCCGCATTGGTAGGATGCAGGCCATCATCCCTTGCACAGCCGTTTCGACAATGCTTAAATTGTCTGTTGTGGCTGGCTTGGTCTCCGGCTGAGTTGCCGTATCCACATTAGCATCTGCTATTTCAGTAGGAAGAACAGGACTGTGTGGAGGGCCGATGCTGCATGTACTCAAAATTGGTGTCACGGAGTGGGTGGGGGCCCATTGCGTGTGGTTGTGTAGAGGGCTGATGCTGGCTGTGCGCAGAATTAACATTCGACAGTGGGTGAGCAATTGCCCAGCGTAGTAGCGTACCATCGGGAGAAACCAATTCAAAAGCCGCGTGACTTGAGTGGGTAGCCGACGCTGCTGGCCACACACATGCAGTTCAGCCTCTGGCCAGGACATTGGGAGGATGACTCCTAACAAGCATATGTCATGTTAGGGAGGTAACTGCAACTTCAAAGTCAGTGGTATTGTTACAGATATGTTCGAACCTCGTCAGCTGTCCCGTGAGCACACCTGCAGGCTGATGAGCTGGGGCATCTGAGGAAGCACTGGGATAACGTAGGTAGGGAATGTCCAAGCTCAGCCTTATCAAACACATCGATGTGAAGTGAGCCGTCTGGACAAACCAAGATTCTTGCGCCTAGGAAGAGACATGATCCATCTTACTCAGTAGTGTCTTCCCACTGAAGACCATAATGAGTGGGAGAAGGGGGGTGAGATATCTTCTATGATAGGAGGATGTCATCAACTAACCGATACGTAAATACATAGTCATGGATACGATCCGGACGTCCGGATCGGAGTCCAGACGTCCGCTACGTAAATGCATATTCATGGATACGATCCAGACGTCCGGACCGGAGTCCAGACGGTCTGGATCCACACCGGAGTCTAGACGTCCGCTGCGGAAGGTCCGGTAACTGGAAAATGAGGGGTAAAAAAAAAGGAGGGGCCAGGGTCGCACCCAAGATCCGTTCGGAGCCCTCAAAAATGTTTTTGACGTTTTGGGAGGCCTTTTCATATTTGTTAAGTGGGACAGACATGGGCAAATTCTTTTTTCCTTTTTTTTTGAACCCCCCAAAACCAATGGCCCCATCTATTCTGGGGGGCAACAGTCCCGTCACTTATCACCGGCAAGCATGTTATTCTTCAGAGATGCGGCTTGTTAACGGCTGCAACTTTTGGGGCCGGGCCGCCATTGATAAATTTCATCGGTGGCCATTGTCGCGTTTCAGCCCTCCGAAAGTTGCAGTGAGGGGCCCGCAGCCGATGTGTGGGCCACGGTGATTGCTGGTAGCGCGGCTGCCAATGGTTGTCCTGACAGGATAGGCCACCTACCGTACTATCCTTTTTTTTTTTTTTTTTTTTTTTTGAAAAGAGAGGGCCCAGTGCCCTAGGCTCTATCCTACCTCAGTGTGACCAGCACTCAGGACCATCACCCTACCAGTATTGAGGGCAACTTGGACCAGACGGCAGTGACAAGCACCAGGGCTGGGCCAACCTCCCAGCCCTAATGGAAGCGGAAGCGGACGAACCTTGCCGTATAGGAACTTCGGACACCAGGCTCATGCGATCTTCTACAGGCCCAATTCAGAGAGTCTACCCAGCAGGATTACCTAAGCAAGGCAGGCCAACGCCCGCAGACATATCCTACTGTCCTTCCCCTAGCTTACCCAAGGCTAGGCGGAACTCAGACTAGCCAGAGCGACTTATATCCCTACCCTACCCTACCCTAGAGCTAAGCCATGCATGCATAGACCCTGTCATATACCTGATAGCCCCCCCCAGCCCAGTATTGTAGTTGTATGTATATGTGTGTGGCCAGAGGCTATGTATGTTTCTATGGGCCCATAGGGCCATGTTTTTTGTGTCTGCCCAAAGGCTATGTGTGGTTTGTAACTGTATAGCGAGATATGTGTGCCCCAAGGCCAGATATGTGCTACTCTATGTAGAGGGAACTATTTGTTCGTTTGAAAAGATGACAGGCCAAGCTGGACAAGAACCCCCCCCAAAGTCGCAAGCCAGACTTGAACCCGTGATCTATGACATGTGACCTGAAGACTCTACCATTTGAGCGACAATCGCAAACGGCCCCTGTGTGTGATATGCCAGACTGGGGAGATCAACAGAACAGCGACGAGCAACAGCCACAAGCAACCCACACAGTATCAAGACCCGACATACAACACCATGGACAACCCCTTGGGTGGTGCGCAGGCAGTGTCTGTATAAGCTTACCGTGCGTCAGCCCAAGGGTGTGTGTGTCCAGTCGTGCGTCATTCTAATGCCCTGCCGTTGTCCATGCACAAGGCTGCAATTGAGTTCTGAACCCGCAACCTTATACCACGACGCGCATTTCCAACCGGTGCTCTAACCACTGAGCTACATCAAGTGGACATGAAGGCTAATTCTTTAAGCCCAACCAATTCCATTACCTGTCGAATCTGGGGAGAAGAGTCCCCTGGCTGCTAGGCCTGTGCACGCGCCCGATAGGTGCGCATGGTTCCATTGCCATGTGCCACCTGTTGTTTGGTGACGAGGACGTCCCACGACGCGTGGGCAGGGGTAGCGCCAGCCGTGAGATTGACGAGTGGTTCAGAAGGACCGTGTGAGTGGCGCAGCTTATTGGGCGAGAGATGGGCGTGGTGGGGGAGCTACAACATCAAAAAGCAGCTGCAGACGATTGTTGGGGTGCTCTTTCTGCGGTGGCAGGAGGGGGCGAAGATCGATGGGGGGATGATCTCTATGGTTCAGTAGTTGGAAGAGAGGACCCAGGAGATGTTGGACGTTATGTGGGAGCTGGACGAGGGGCCGGATCCCCAGCTCGGAGCCTACATCGACTGGAGGCGGGCGGATGACATGATGGGAAGCTGCAAAGCCCTCTTTACAAAGGGTCGCAATCTACGCAATCTGTTGGAGGATTGGCAGGGGATGGGCGAGATGGGTGAGAAGGATCAGGTCGGAGGCCGATCATGACAATGGACGAGACCGGAATGGAAGAGGTACTGGCAGCGATGAAGATAACTGCGGCGACAGCATCAACAACAACAACAACAACAATGACAACAACAATAATAACAACAACAACAACAACAACAACGACGACGACACGACATTAACAATGTCAACAACAGTGACATCGATAGTGATGATGACAAACGCGGGAATAAAACTGACAGCAACGACAATAATAGAGAAATCGTCATCAAGGATATTGACAGCTATGACGGCGCGGCCAGGGCTGACGGTAATAGCAACAACAATGACAATAACAACAACAACAACAACAACAACAACAACAACGACGACGGCAACGACTACAGTG